GCGCCCTTCGCTGCGGTAGGAGTCAACGTCTTCAACTCTTGTGTCGGGTGTGAATTTTGGTGCACCGTGTAACTGGTTGCACTCAACCTGAGATTGTTAACTGAATATTCATTGCGATGAGGTAGATTCGGTTGACATATTTGCTGACTCTTTACCGAATCTTGTCTCCCTAGTTGATTATTTCCTTGTAGCTAGTTTAGTTCCCCTAAGTTTTTGATTTTCTTTGTTGTTCCCCAGTTTTGTTGCATTATGTTGTTTCTTGCTGCTGTACTCATTCGGGCTACAAAAGTGCACCTCCTGCAACAGACGATCAAAGCGCCTCTCGCAAATGCAAATTCATACCATATCTGAAATTCATCGTGAAACACAAACATATATCTTCTTGAGGCACACAAAAGCAAATGTTTGGGTTTATTTTATCAGATTAATAACAGAAACAGACAGCGGTCAAAACAAGCACACGAGATATATAAGTCCTAATCATGGTTTCCACTTTCAATGGGATTCCATTGCAATTCACTGAATTTCATTAATTCCAGTAGACACTGAAATATTACGTTTCGGCCAAAATATTTCCGGAATTTCAGTAGTACACAATAAATCAAATATTTTTTAAAATATTTTTTGAAATTTTCAAATATTTAATTAAATTCAAGTGAATATTTCGGCCCTTTAGCCGAAATGCAAACTGAAATCACTCAATTTCGCTGAATTTCTGTGATTTCGGTTGGTGCTGAAATTTTCTCGAAACTGAAATTGAAAACCATGGTCCTAATACAACAAAAGACTAAATTCACAAATTGCAGTCCTCGCCATAACTGGTACAGAATCACAAAATACAACAAATCAGAAGGACCGAGCAAAGCAACGGCTGGTCTCCTCGCCATAACGTCTTCTCAGAAAAGACTGCTGTTGTCTCCTAGTACCGAGACAAGATGTCCCACTTCTCAGAAATGAGACTGGACCATGCAACAGTGATCTCTAACTCAATGCCTCCGGTGAGTTTACATTTTGCTTGCTTATGTTGGAAAACTTGAGCTTGAAGGACTCATTATTTTGTGCAACTTTATTACCGGAATCTGAGTAGGCTTCCAAGATAAAGTTCAGGTTTCCACGATAGTCTACAGAGACAACAATCCTTGATAGAACAAGGTAGCCCTGACAAGTAATCGGCATGGTTGTATAACGAGAATCTAGCAGCTCAATTTCCTGAGGACTGGCGTCAGGTCCAATGACTGAGCAAGCAACTCGACCTCCGAATGCTTTAGGCCATGACCCCTCCTCTTTGACACGGACACCCAAAATAGTGGCCTGGACTGATTTCTTAAGTCTCTCCATACTTAACTCTACGGTGCAAATGCAGTTCCTAAAGCAAATGGGGGCTTCTCTTCTGCTGTAGTAACTGCACACGCCATTCATCAGTGCCTTATCTTGAGACTTGGTTCTACCTCTTACTTTTAGTTGGATTTCAAAGACAACAGATTGCTCGTTGACAATTGCACGAGAGGGGCCAGTCAAGGTCAAAAAGGAAGCCTGCAAGCATCAGCAATCACCTTATTAGCAACTGATAAACAAGAGGGCCCAGGCAGGCATGTCCACAATATCCCCAAAATCAAACGAAGAGCATATTGATAAGATTAAGATGGTACAGATAGATACCTCTTCATTGAGTATCTGGCACTCACTCCTGTTGCGGGCAAACAGAAGGTTGCGATTGTGATCCACACGGTCTCGGGCAGCGACCGTGCCGTACACTGGCAACGGCCATTCCAGACCACCTCGTATTTCTGCGAGTTTGACAGAGAAGATCTGCAGGCTAGGCCTGACTCGACCATAGTGCAACCGGGTGCTCCCTGGTATCAAGTGTGTGTATTGCATGGAACTCACTGCCGCTGCATGCATCAGAACAAGATCGGTGGAAGCAGGTGTTAGAAATCTTGTAACATGAACAGGTACCAGATAAGCAACAAAGTAATTCACTCCACTTCCCTTGATGCAAAGAAGTACGACCAAAGGTAAAAAGGAGGAAAGAAACTAGTTAACCAAAGTTCAGTAAGATAAGCAAGATGCATGCATGTTTACTCACTCATGTCTTAGAAGCAACCGAACCCATCAGAACCCCTTGACCCTTCCCAGCAATCAACATACATGGCAAAACTCTTCTGTTCGGCAGCCATCTCCTTGGCCTCAATTTTTAATTGTTCGTCTGATTTGCCTCTATCCATCTTCTCAACATCATAACCTGTGTTGGTGGCAACAGAATCTGCAGGTTCGAGTATTGACTTGTCTGGTACCAACATGGAGGTATTCGATTCATTCGCCAATTCACTGGTATCCAGACTCATCGCCGACTCTGTCTCCGCCTCTGGCCCCACCTCCGATGTCAATTTGGAGTCTATCTTCGGCACCTGCTGCTCCATTGATGCAACATCCCAGTCCTGCTCCTCGTCGCCAACATATCCTTGTACCAAAATATCCCGCTTCTCAGAAACAAGACCAGACCAAGCAACAGTGATCTCCAACTCAATACCCTTCACAACTATCCTGACTTATGTTGCAAAGTTTGGGTTCGAAGGACAATTCTTTTTCTGCAATGATAGCACCAGATGGTAAGCAGGCCTCTAGGAGAAAATTCAGGCTCCTGTTAACATTCGACAGAAACGACATTCCTTGACAGAAGAAGGTAACCCTCAGAAGTCACGGGCATGGCACTTCCACGAGAAACAAGCAGCTCAAGTTGCTCGGATGTGGCGTCAATTTCACCATCAATGACTGAGCAAGCGACTTGACCTCCCCATCCAGAAGGCCATGACCCATCTTTGACACGGACGCCCAAAACAGTGGCCTAGACAGTTTTCTCAAGTACCTCCAATCTAAACTCTACGGTGCAGAAGCAGTTCGTAAAGCAAACAGCATCATCCCCTCTGTTGTAAGTGCACACACCAGTGATCAATGCTCTATCTTCATACTCTGTTGTACCTCTTACTTTCAGTTGGATTTCAAAGTCAACCGATTCCTCGCACACAATTGCACGGGAGGGGCCAGTCAAGGCCAAAAAGGGCTCCTGCAAGCACCATCGATCACCTTATTAGCTGCTGACAAATATGAAGGCCCAGGAAGGCAAACAATATGCCCAAAAGAAAAGGAAGGGCATATTAAGATGGTATACATACCTCTTCCTTGAGTATCTGACACCTGGTCCTATAGCAAGCAAACAGAAGGTTGTGATTGTGATCCACGTGGTCTCTGACAGCAATCATACCGTACACTGGCAACGGCCATCTGAGACCACCTTGTATTTCTGCCAGTTTGATGGAGACGACCTGGAGGCTAGGGGCAACTTGACAATAGTGCCTTGGGGTGCTCCCGGGTATCAAGTGTGTATATTGCATGGAACTGATCGTCGCTGCAGAAATCGATCAATGGAAGCAGGTGTTAAAATTTTCGTAACATGAACAAGTACTAGATAAGCAGCAAAGTAAATCCCTTCACTTGCCTTCCCTTATAGAAAGACATAGGACCAAAGGTAAGAAAAGAGAGGAATGAAACTAACTAAACAAAATTGAGGAAGATAAACAAGATGCATGCATGCATGCATGTTTACTCACTCATGTAATGGAAGAGACCAAACCCATTCGATCCCCATTTATCATCCCAGGCATCAGCGTACTGAGCAAATTTCTTCTGTTCAGGGGCCATCTTCTCAGCCTCGATGAGTAATTGTTCTGCGGCCATCTTCTCAGCCTCGATGAGTAATTGTTCGGCTGATTTGCCTCCGTCCATCTGCTCAAAAACAACATCATCGCCTCTCTTGATGGGAACATGATCTGCAGGCTTGGGTATTATCTTGTTTGATACAGAGATATTTGATTCAATCGTCGACTCACTGGTATCTGGACCTGTCGCCGCCTCTGCCTCTGCCTCTGACTCTGATTTGGAGTCGATCCTCGGCACCTGGTCCTCCATGGATAAAATGTCGCAGTCCATGTGCTCCTCATCAGCACCGCCGTCGACATCCAAGGCGTCAGTTTCCATCTTGTGCTCCCCTTCATTAGCAGCACCGCCATCAGCCTCATGCCCATTCAAGGCTGCAGTTTCCAGCTTGAGCTCCCCGCCATTAGCAGGATCACGCTCATCCAAGGCTGCAGTTTCTTCAGTCTTGTGCTCCACACCCAGAATATCCGTCAGGCTGCGGGCTTTGACGGCCCTCATCTGCTGGCTCAAGCGCCTGATTTCATTCGTAACAACCAGTTGCCGCTGTGCGTTGCGCTCGATTCTATCCAACAAATCTCGACTTTGCTTAATCGAACTGCACAAATCTAACCTGTGGTGCTCCTCCGTCGACTCCATCTGCTCACTCTCCTGCATCAGTTGTCTCTCCTCGTCTTTGAGTTCCTCCTCCTCCTTCCTCAGTTCTCTGAGCAGAGCTTGATCCCTTCTGGGATTCTTGGTGCCACGAGAATCGGGGTTCCCGGGGCCAGGGAGAAGTTGGGGCTGCTCCCCCACGGACTTGCTGGAATCCCCTTCCGCCTCCATCTCACGAGCCGTCCTTCTCCCCCGCTCCCCGCCCGCCGCCGCTGCTCGCCTTCCCGTATTGAGATCTGGCTAAGAAAAGGGCTCGACGCTCGCCGCTCGCCTTCCCGTATTGAAATCTGGCTAAGAAAAGGGCTCGACGCTCGCCGCTCGCCTTCCCGTATTGAGATCTGGCTAAGAAAAGGGATCGACGCTCGCCGCTCGCCTTCCCGTATTGAGATCTGGCTAAGAAAAGGGCTCGACGCTCGCCGCTCGCCTTCCCGTATTGAGATCTGGCTAAGAAAAGGGCTCGACACCGCCGCCGCCGCCTAGCTTAGGGTTTCTATATCTGTGTGAAACGCTATCGATCCACCTAAAAAAAGAGCTATCCATCGGGAAAAAACTGGACACGCCCACCCCGCCCACTCTCCCTCCCTCTTAGTTCTGCCCACCTTACTCTTCTATTTGTCTCCCCACCGCTGCCGTCCATGGTCCTCCCGTCGATTACGACGATGGAGTCCCTGGGCGTGCTGCTGCTGCACCCCATGAACGGCTACCTGGAGCAGGAGCTGGACCGCCTCTTCCGCTTCTGGGACTCCCCTCCAGACGGGGGCGCCAAGTTCCTCCGTGCGGTCGTCGGCAACACTGGACGCAACGCCGACGCCGCGCTCATCGATGCGCTGCCGTCCCTCGAGAACGTCGCGTCCTCCGTGGGGATCGACCGCATCGACCTCACCAAATGCCGCGAGCGCGGGATCCATGCTCACCGACGTGCTCACCGACGCCGTCGGCCTCGTCATCTCCGTGGTAAGGAAGATCACGCATGGTGACCGCTATGTGCGCGCCGGCTTGTGGAAGGCCAAGGGGGACTACACGGTACACACTCACCACGCGGGTTGGTTTTAGATGCTTGCTCTTTGACTTCCGTTCGTATTATTTTTTCTATCCAACGATTGAGTGCATTATTTAGTGATACTCATTTTATAATTGCCCAATTCGTTTCACGATACCTTGTGTCTTTAATTTAAATGAAAAATGATCGAGGATTGCTTGCATTTGGGCCTTTTGGATTGAAATCATGAATCTCATGGTGTATTCTTACATATTATACTGAAGACAGTTCATCTGTCCACTATGTCTGCTGTGTTTGCACTATGAACCACCCAGGCAATTAGAACTTCAGAACCAAAGCACCAGTACTCTGATCCTTGCATCAATACTTTCCTTATTTATCATCTGGGAGGAATAGTCGGATCCAGATAAATAAGGTTCATGTATTGCAATCAAAACTGCACATACAGCTAATAAAATCAACTGATAGTGTAACATTCCTATGAGTAGCAGCAATGATATCTTTTGTTATATCTAAACAGGTCTTTGTGTTATAAATATAGACCAGATTAAAGATCTGATGCTTACTTTACTGTTAAACATAGACAAGAGGCTAGCAAATGATTGAAATGTTGCACTGCTTCATGTTAGAAAATGCTAAAGTAGTTTTTTTTTGCGAAATAAATGCTAAAGTAGTTGAGGGGCTAAAACTCAGATTTATTATAATGGATAAACAATTCCCACGGTTTAACTTACCTATACATCTTGAATCTAGAAATTTTATACTCAGGAATGTATATGTTATTGGACTACCAACTCTACCAGTTCTGGATTAAAATGATTGAAGCTAAAGTAGTAGTTGTGCCACTGAAATTTACAACTCCACACATTTCACATTAAGAATGAAGCTGGTCTCCATGATTTCAGTGATGTCTCCAGATAAGAAATTTGGAAAGCTAACAAGAGATAAACACGCACATAGCAATTAAAGTGTGTTCCTGCCATCTTATATTTAAGCACACTGCTCACTTGTGATGTTATGCTATTGTAGGTTAACATGATGCATGAGTAGTCTCGTGACGAAGACCTTTAACTATGATGTCATCTACTCTCATTTGGTACGTGCATATGCATAGTTTTATTATAAATTGCGGAGACATTTCATCTTTGATGCTTATATAGTTCGATCTGATCAAAACCTGCAAATGAAAAAAAATGTTAGATCTAAAAGTAGTCATAAATACAACACCATCCAAAAAATAATGGAATAACGCACCTGCCTCATCTCTCTAAAACATCTCTGTAGACAATGTTCTTGGTGCTTTTCCCGGATTTGTCAACCTCCTTGTTTGGCTTGGCCAAAATCCGTGTCGTCTCTCTTGACACTCCCCTCGACAATGCAACATATAGCTGACCATGGGAGAATACAGGCTCGGGAAGGTAAATACCGACGTTTGGGATGGTCTGACCCTGTGCCTTGTTAATTGTCATCGCAAAACTCAGGCGGATGGGGAACTGCTTTCTCTTAAGTTTGAAGGGACGTGAGTTGTCCTCTGGGGGCGACATAGGGATCCTAGGTATGAACACCCTCTTTCCAGCATGCTGACCACCAACAATCTCCGCATCGATTGCATTATCCTGGAAGGCTCTGATCATAAGTCGTGTTCCGTTGCATAGACCATTATGAGGGTCGAGGTTTCGGAGCAGAATGACTGGACAGTTGACCTTTAATCTCAAAACATGCGGTGGCAAACCATTAGGTGTGATCGAGTTCAGAAAATCAATTGTGTAATTATTCTGCAAGTCATCCTCGATTGAGTCAAAGCTATGGTATAACTTTTCTTCGCCTGGAAACCTGGAGATCATCTTGTCATTGAGGTCATCCACATGATCGTTCTTGGTCGATAGAATTGCACGTGCGCTCATGTACTCTCTTGATCTAGCATTAGCATGTAGTGATGGAAAGACATCTTCGATGAGCTTGTTAATAGCGTTTTCATCATCGGTATAGCCAATCACAATGTCTTCAGGGAGACGCACATAGTCGTCGCCTATTGTCTCTTCTGTTCCATTACCGATCCTTAGGAGGTATTCAGAGAACCAAGGATCAGCCTGTGCCCGCATATTGCGCGTGAGGCGTATCTTGCGGGTCTTCTCCCACAAATAGGATCTCAGGAGTGTAGCATCCGTGATCTGTGCTCTTGTCCCACGTGTGACAACAGGAAGGACTTGCCGAAAATCCCCACCAAAGACGACAACCTTTCCCCCAAATGGCAAAGGACACTCCATTATATCCTGGAGCGATCTATCAAGCGTCTCAACTTCTTGACGTTTTGTCATAGCGACTTCGTCCCAAATTATCAAGGACGCCTGTTTAAGCAACTCTGTTGTACCACTCTGCTTTGTAAAACTACACATGCTGTTGTCAGTGAGCTTAATTGGAATTTTGAACCTGGAGTGTGCAGTCCGTCCTCCTGGCATTATCGACGCCGCTATACCTGATGTAGCAGTTGCGATCGCTATTTGGCCCACGGAACGCACCTTTGCAAGCAAGGCCTTGTACAAGTATGTCTTCCCAGTGCCTCCTGGACCATCAACAAAGAATATCTGGCTTTTTTGGTTCATCACATGATCCATTATATCATTAAAACCAGCCAACTGCTCATTGTTCAAACTGTTAAATAGATCTAGATGTTCTTTGTCCACTGTGACTTGCCTCTCCTCTGTTACTTCTTTGTACTCAGAGTCATAAGAACCATTGGTCTCAACCAAATCCGGAAGTCCATAGTTTCTAATATCCTTTCCCATGGATTGTAACATATCCCTAATATCTCTAAGGACCATCTGCTAAAGTGTTGCCTCATCGGATTGATTACGACGGTAATCCTCAGACATTGATGCTAGATGTTTGTCCCACATCTGTCGGATTTCTGTTGCCTCACAGAATACCAGTATAGTTGCAAACAACCGTCTCAGGGCACAAGGCATCTGAAATGTGGCTGCCTCCGTCATGCAATCATCAAGAGTCCTATCGTGCTCAATGAGGCCTAAGTGCTCGCATGCCTCCCTGAAGGAACTGCATGGCTTGCCATTTACTGTTTTTAAATCATCAAATGAAGTGGCACCTCGGACATGACTTAGGAGCACACGCAAGTAGTACCTCTCTCCTTCAGCAGGGTGTGCATACACAAGTCTTCCAATCTGTGATCTCTTACTTTTTCTATTCTGTCAACTCTTATTTCCAGCTATCCATCTATAATGTTCTAGAAACTCTCTGTACAGCCATTTCCGCGCTTCTAGAAACTTCTGGTTCATCCGAAAGTACTCGGTAAGCATGGACTTGGAAGAAGATGGCCGAGCGACAACATCTTCCAGATTTTCACACGCTTTAAATGCAACCGTATGCATGTTTGGCAAATGAAGCTGGAGCTGTAGCACAGATGGACTGACACCAAACATTTTAAAACCGAAAATCCTATAAATAGCTTCTGGAGGAGATACATAGCGTGCATCCCTATACTGTCGGATTTCATTGATGATTCCACCTTCATTGATGATATCCTGCTCGAATGCAAATGATGTTCGATCATGCCCTTTGTAGATGTACTTGAACAAGTACTTGACTGCCCTAATGCTCGAGCATGCTTCGACATTAATGTGGCAGTTGTATGTCATGAGTAGATAAGGGTTGTAAGGGACTACCCATCTATTGTCCAAATCAGCTCCTCTGATCCTAACCCTCTGCCCGTCGTCCCTCCTTCTATATATGGGATATGAGTCTTTCCGTTGCTGTGTGGCATCGCAAAAATCTCGCGGGTAATGAAATCGGCATTGTCCCTCAATCATGCAAGGACAACTTTTTTTGAGCTCACCACAAGGTCCGTGTAGCATGTGTTTGACGACCAGATCATGTAGAACGGGGTGTTTCTCTTTGTCAGGTATCTCTGCAGATATCACCCGATCATAGTCATCTGGGGTCGCTAACTTGCTTTTTGATTTCATGATTAGAAGTATATGCTCATGAGGGAGGCCTCGTTTCTGAAACTCCGTGACATGTATATAAGCTGCTACTTCTCTGAAATGCTTACCCTTAGTCAGTAAGTCCATCATATGTCGTTGTTTAGCTCTGTATACTCTTGCCACCAGGTCTGGACGGTCTTGTGGCAGTTGTCCAGGCAACAGTTCCTCTGTTATCTCCACCCAATAGGGATTGCAAGTCATCGTAATAAAATAATCTGGTTTGCCCCACCGCTGGACAATTGCCATTGCATCCAGGAATCTCCGCTGCATGTCGCGATCACCACCAGGAAATGTACGTGGAAGCACGATTCTTTTGCCAATTCGATCACCGCGTGACTCGCCAGCAACAACGGTATCAACAAGACCCTGTAGTATTAATCAATGTTACAGAAAAACATGGAACATGTATATTGTCGTTGCATTATAATGTGTTAGAATAAACACAAGAACGTTACCTGGTAGAGGTCGGCGCGTATAACCTTCTGATTTTCTGGCTTCGAATACCAGTCAAGCCTCATAGACTCAATCTTGATATACATGTCAACAGCCCACTGTTGGAAAAGGCGCCCCCCGAACAAGATGATATTTAAAAGTTTCTTCCTGACCTGCAGCTTGAAGCAGTAGTACTCCCTTGCACTAACAAATTTCCTGGATTGTGTTGCATTCACCTCATTGTCACCAAAATCCTCATCTGGGTTATCCTCGTTGTCCTCTACAAGATTGACAACATAAATATCAGTTTGCTGGCTGGACTCATAACGATTGACACAATAAGAATAGAAGAATAAGAAATGATGACCGATACCTGCAGGTAAATCAGTGGCATGGTCTTCATGTGCTACAAAATTCCCAACTTGTTCGCTTTCTCTAATCAAGTTTTCCTCTGATAGATAGATGAAAACATAAGTTTACATTAATAATAGCAAACCTAACCCTTGTTAATGAACACATACCTGTATGTATATCAATGTCTTGGTTT